TCTGGTTTGGAATGTTAAAAAGTGGTTTAAGAAATTGAGCGTTGTTTCAAGTAAATTGTTACTCATGATCAATGTTAATTTGCTCTATTAAACGATGTCTCTCTTTGACTCAGCTCTTGCCTCTTGCTGAATGTTTTCTCCCCTACTGAAAATCTGGTATTGCGGAGGGGACAGTGACACAGAAGAACACGGTTCGGCTTTTCACTGCTAATTCTCTTGATAAAATATTTACTCACCATGTTTTGTTAAGATCAACTGAGAATCGCGCAGAAAGTCTCTGATCCGAGGCTATGGGGAGGGCATGGTGTTCTGATCCAATCTTACTTCAGACCATGCCGTATGACGCATGCATTTGTGGTTGCAGTCAGCGTTGATCGATCTGATAACTCACTAAAATTGATAAAAGGTCTAAACTAAATGAATCTAAATAAATAAATATTTGTGAATGCTAAAAATCGTCATATTTGCTTCTAAAACCACTTCCTAAATTTTCATTTATTCGCCTTTCACGAGTCTGTCGGTTTACGTTTCCTGTATGACGTTCAGGGAATGCTTTCAATCAATCTTTAATGTTAATAATGCTACTTTTAGCTTCTCAATCAACAAGCGGCTTTAATGGCGGGCACCGCGGCAACGCAGGGCACAGCGGCGTATTTGGCGCCGGTGGCCATCGCCCCCGGAGCAGCATTTTCTCTGGCACCCATCGCCGCGACGCCATTCCTTCCCGGTGCGAGTAAGTAACAGCATATCAGCAATTTGAATTTGCCGTCCTCAGCTTCGATAGAGGGTCAGCATGACGAAGCAAGGAAATCAATAATTACCGTACCCAATAATGTGATTACGGTCATGCGTCAACGCCTGATGATTTGCAGCCGTCTGTGCCGTCAATGCTCTTGCCCACCTACACTGTGACGCACACGATCGATTTTTCGATGGCAAATTGCATCGTACGCTGCTCGCTTCTTGTAGCAATAACTTTTAGGAATCGTGGGACATCCTTTGTCAACGTGATTGGTCGAATCAGTTAAAAAGGCCCGCCTCTGCGCTCTCTGAATCTAAAAATCCGCTGATTTCTTCTACTTCCCTACTTGTAGAACGAGCTTTACTGAAACCACTGGCAAATGTTTAAAACGTTCAGTCGAAGCAGCGGCTTTATGTTGAAATGGAAGTATATGAAAATGCATTGGAGCCACCTCGACCAGCCTTCCATCTCCTTAACTTTTCTTCTGTGGACAGGAATACTGAGTAACCTTGTGAATGCGGACTTCAGAGATGGAGCTTGGCGCGGGGAAGCACCCTGGGTTTCACCTTTCGGCGCTTTGTTAGGATATCCCAAAAGAAAATTTAGAAGTCAATCACAATTCGCATATTCAAATGGCAGTCAAAAATGACATACGTGAGGTCGTATGAAGTGTTTAATCCAGACATTTCACCAGTTCTCCTGGTGTATAAATATTTACCTGAGCCATTACAGTAATCT